TATATATATATAAAATTTGTTAATGTATATTTTTTCTGGAAATGCTTTTATTTATTCTTTTCGGCACAAGGGGTAACATGCCCTCTGTACACCAATTGATGTTGATAATCTCTGTGAACTTTCAAAAGTTTTTCTTCTCTCAATTGACAATGTTTATTTTTACTTTTATATAATTATGATTCATATATTATGAGGAATTCATTCCCTGTTTCTCCAAAGAAGGCAGTATTTCTTAAAATGATTTTGTGGAGTTTTGGAGACATTTGTAATAGTGTGTATGATGCCAATGATTAGTTTTTAAGGAACTTGAAAATCCTTGAAGCTGGTCAGTAATAGAGTCCCAAGTAAGAAAGACCTAGGTAGCATAAACATAATTAAAAGTGTATTTACAGCATTGAAAGTCTTGGGCTGTCAAATGAGGAAAGTCAAGTTCACTTCTTGCATTCTCATGCAGACAAATTCTCTGAAAACTTGGGAGCCTTCAGTGAAGAACACACAGAGATTACACCAGATATTGAAAGACATCAATACTAATCGCTTAGTGTAATATTTCAGTCATTAATACTAATCTGATTACCAAGTTAACATAATAGCAAGTTTGTGATTGCAAAAACAAGGTAAAAGACAGCAGTTGCAATTTTTGATTTTAGTACACAAACAAACAAAACAATTAGTGAATATTATCTCTGCAGTTCCTCCAAAAATATGTTTTGAAGGTCTGAGTTATTTAATAGTGGGTGGTTATAAGGAAATACATAAATATTGCAGTCTTAAATTTTAATTATAATTGTTTGAACTTTTTTTTCACACTACACTTTGAAGGCTGCACATTATCAAAAATTAGATCACACAACTAAATCATTCCTGTTGTACACCGCATTAAAAACAACTCTTACAGCAGCAGCAATAATAATATTATAACTATAAGTAAGCAACAGTACATATAAATTAACTAATGGTGGAAAAATACACCATTCCAAGAGAAAAAGAGCTTACAACCATTTTTATAATAATGGAAGAATATTCAATGTAAATATAATACAGTCTATAAAACAACTATGGGTTTACAATATTCTATAAATAAGGCATATTTAAATTGAGCAACTTTATTGTAATATTTATTTGAAAACAACAAGTTCATTTAATATTTTCTGTAATCAATGGATCAAGATTATACATCTGGTCTATATTTGGCTACAGACCCCCAATCGACCCATTTATGCCATATTTTTACCACAGTATGTGATGGAATATTAATTAAATTTTAAAATGCTCAACAACGATAAGATAAGTGATGCGCCTGAAGAAGCACACAAATCCGTCTGTAAAACATAATTTGCCAATAAAGCATTTGTTTGAAATTGACCGTCTACAATCAATAGATATTTTAATCCAATACATTCAACAGTCATACAACAACACAAGATTGAATAATGTTTGGAGCTGACATACTTAGATCTGTTTTGTATAAGTAGTCAAAGATTTTTATTTATTGCATTTGTACTGACGCACCGGGTCTCTGAACCCCTAGAATGACCTTGAACGCTTGCTAGAAGTAAACCTCCATTACTTTTTATTTGGAGTAATCCTCCGTTAATTTTGTTGGTCTGCTGCCTAGTCTTGTCGCTGTCACTTAAGAGGACCACCAGGTAGCGTCTCCGCGTACGCATTCCTGCATCACTACCCATGAGCTAGAATTGGAAATTAGGAAAGTGATGGGGGTTAGGCCACTTTACAGGGTTTGGACTAGCCCTTGTAAAGCATCTTCTGTATACCTGCACGCATATTATCCCCATCTTAACAGCGATATTTGCTTGCCTCCCCACTTCCTTAACCTAATTTAGTACTGGTAGATTTAGAAGCATCCGAAAGTGTTTCTTTCATTTCTTTGTAATCGTCAGGGCTCGGATTCTGATGACATTGTAGACGTAGCTAACTTGTAAATGAATGTTTATCAGGACATTCAGGTGATAGAAATGTATAGTTATTGGGTCATTGTTTGCCATTTTTCACTCGTTAGGTCTTTTCTTTACCTTTGAATCATTTTGATCATGTTTTTCCTTTTGTGTTTTTTGTTAGTGCATGTTTCATGGTTTTTGTTAGTGAATGTTTCATGGATTTACAATGACACACTAAAACAAAGTTTTTATTGTGTCATCAGTGGACGAAATTCACTACCGCAATGGACTCGCAGTTTTTCGAGCACTGAAAATTACACAGATATTCGACCTTTCAAAACTGACAGTTGGAAGATCGGAGCTAAGAATTACATTTCCTCCTAAAATGAAGACTTTATATTAAAGTCTTCATTTTAATGAATAAATTTTATGTAATAATTTTTAATATGTAAATAAATTTTATTTAAAATTGTAAAATTTATTGAATGAGAAAACATAGTGATGCAAATTTGTTATCTTTAAAAGTAATGTCATTTCCTCCTTATTTTCAAGTTTTTAGGTTATTTTCCTCTTAGTTTCATGTTTTTATAGATCATTTTCAAAGAATGTTTAGGTCATCAGAATCCGAGCCCTGGTGATCGTAAATAAAAATGTAATGTACTTGTTCCTTTGAAGAGAGCCGACCCCCTTGAAGTCATCACTAGGCACCTTTTCTAGCAGCCAAATTCCTCTTTTGGTTCCCATTTTATAGTTCATTTACATTCCAAAGATGAAATACATTAGAAGCCCATTAGTACAAATCACTTCAATACCGTACTAGAAATTTCACTAGTTTCCGATAAAAGTGATCAATGTGTACACCCCTAAATATTATCCAATCTTCTTGAAATGGGACATGTCTGTTTCATCGCTGAGATTCCTTCGATTGCCATTTATTGTCTTGTCTTTGAACGAGAACGAGCCATGGGCTGTGAATCACGTAATACTTTGGTACGGAAGGGTCAGACATAGCACCCGGTCGGTATAATACATAAAAATATATTTCGAATTAGTAACGAGTACCAAAACCTCGCCTTTATGAAATACATTTTTTTAAATAGTATGAAATATTCTAAAACCTTCCGAGTGAAAAATAAAGATAGTGTTTCGGAAAAAGTCCAGGAAATGTATATCAAGAAAACGGTGGCCTCCCTGAATTTGTAGCATGGTCTATATTGGAACAGATTCAGACCTGTCATAGTGTTATGTAATTTCGTTCATGATTATGGCTAGTAGTGAGAAAAAGTA